CTGACCCCCTGACCCCCCCCCAGGGCCGTGGCACCAAATGGCTCTGTGTGGACTCTCTCCCCCCCCCTCCTGCAGCTACCTGCACGCCTGCGACCCTCCCATAATCCATGGCAACCTCACCAGTGACACCATCTTCATCCAGCACAACGGGCTCATCAAAATCGGGTCAGGTACGCACACGTGTCTGCAGGGGGGGGGGGGCAGAGCTGCGGAACGGTGTGTTCCGGGGTCCCCCCTGCTGGAGTGGTCAGAGGCCGAGGCGTCCAGGGGCAGCGCCTGAGTCCTGCGGTTCTGCCGTGTGCCTGTCGGGCCCCGGCCCCAGGCAGTGGTCGAGTGGGTGGACGTGTTGGGTAGCAGGGGAGGAGTGAGTCCTGGTGGTTAGGACGGCCAAGAGGCCCCTGAGCCAGCCTTTCCCAGAGGGCCGGCGGCTGCACCCAAGGTCTGCGGCCCCCAGTCAGGGCCAGGGAGGAAGGGGGGAGCGAGCGGAGGGGCGGCAGTGCAGACCACTCCGGAGCACAGCCGTGGGCCACTGCTGAAGAGAGGAGCAGGCGCTGGTGCGGCTGAGGCCTGTTGCAGACGCAGCCGGCCTCAGAGGGCCGGGACTGTTGTTGTCAGCAGAACACACAGTCGTCCTCGAAGTGGAGCTGTGCCAGCAGGAGCAGGAGGCCTTTCCTGGCAGGAGGGAGAGCGGACCGCTTGAGGCCCTGAAGGGAAGGGCTGGCGCCTCATGCCAAACGTGGGGCACGTGGGGATGGGGCTGTTTGGAAATGGAGGCGGGGATTAAAGAGATGGCCCCAAGCGAGGAAGCGGCGTGGAAGCAGAGTTGCGCCCTGCCCTTGCCTCAGTCCTCGCGGAGGGTCTGGCGGCCCTGTGGCCCAGGGCAGAGGATCTCCCCCCAGGGAGGGAGAGAAAGGGCTCCTCAGTGCTCGCTGCACGGGGAGGACATGGGACAGAAGGCACCGCTGGCTTCTGGGCAAGCAGGCCCCGTTCTGAAAGAGCACGGAGCACGTTTCTTTGTGCCAACTGGCCTCGCTTGCGCCTGTACGTGGCCTCCCCTGCAAGACTGCTCGCTCACGGGCGGAGCTCTGCCGGAGGGCTCGGGGTGGTTTCTGGCGGGGAAAGAGAGCGCGCAGGACGAGGACTGGAAGTGACTGAGAGGAGGGCGCCGGGGACTGTTCCGTCGCCGCACCAGGAAGGAGGAAGGGTCAGGAGGGTACAGCTGCCTGGGAGAGGCCCTCCCTGCCTGCGGGAGCCTCTGAATGGGGTCGGTCTGAAGGGACAGAGTCCAGGACGTGAGCTGAGGAAGTGAGGAAGCCCTCAGAGTCAAGAGGAGGGCCTGGCAGGGGTGTGTGTGTGGGGGGGGGCGGTGCTCACTGTGGGCAGCAGCAGACCACAAGCCAGATACTCTCAATTGGAGGTCCCACCCGGAGACATTGTTAAGCAAATTGGACTGAATGTTTCTAGGAGGGAAAGGCAGAGAGAGAGAGAATGTACCCGTACCCCTGAGGCTACAATGCACCAGTGATTCCTCTGCAACAAAGGAGGTTGTCTCACTTACTGGGGTGTGTGTGTGTGTGTCACGTGGTTTGGTGCTCCTCGGGTGGTGAGGGGGGGCAGGCTTTGTGGGACACCGGTGCACAGGTGTGCATGATGCCAAGGCTCTGGGTGGTCGGTGTGGTGCTGACCTGGATCAGGGCCTGTCCTTTCCAGTGTGGGGTTGTGGTGAGGAGCAGGGGACTCTAATCTGGAGAGCAGGGTTTGATCCCCCACGCGGCAGCTGCCTCCTCCTCCTCCTCCTTGGGCCAGTTGCAGTTTGCTCAGAACTCTCTCTCAGCCCCACCTATCTCACGAGGTGCCTGTTGCGGGGAGAGGAAGGGGAGGCAATGGTAAGCCACTCTGAGACTCCTTCGGGTAGAGAGATGTGGGGTATCAAGACCTCCTCCTCCTCCTCCTCCTCCTCCTCCTCCTCCTGCCTCTTCTTCCACTTCCGGTGGGCTTTCAGGGTTCCTTTGCCTCCTGGCCATGACTCAGGAGATGGGAAGAGCTGCTGCTTGTGTTGGAGGGTGTTCCTCGGGGGAGGCCAGCAGACACTTTGCCTCCATTCCTGCCCGGCAGGAGCCTTTCCCGATAGCCGTTAAGAAGAAATTAATGCTCTCGTACAAGAACGACAGTCTAAAAATGTGGGAAGGTGCAGCATCGCCATTCAGAGGGAATGTGTCGTAGGGCTGGGGTACCTGACGTGCCCAAAGGACAGTCACATGGGCACGGTGCCAGTTTTGGTCCTCAGCAGAGTTGGAGGAGAGGAATCCTCCCCTTGGCATCTGCTTCTGGGTGGGTTTGCCTGGCATGGCAGCGCCCCCTTTCCTCACTCAGGCCCGCGGGAGGGGAGGCGCTCTTCCTGCCCATGCTGTGCCGAAGGCAGTCTGTCATCTGTGGCTAAGACCCACCCGGCAGGCGGGGAGGCGGAAAGGGGCTCAGTCACTCTGCTAAGAAGAAGGATACCCAAGTGGAATGAGTGCGAGGGGACATGGGGGTGCTGGAGGGGACGGATCCTGCCGGTGGGTCTCTCGTGGTGGAGGGTCCATCCCACGGTCAGACCTGCAGGAGTGCAGGAGGCGGGGGCTCCCTGAGGCACCCTGTCCGAGTGGCAAGGGTGAAGCTATGGGGGCAACACGTGAGGATGGCACAGCACCCCCCTCTCAGTTTGGTGAGAGTCAGTTTGGTGTCGTGGTTAAGTGCGCGGACTCTAATCTGGGAGAACCGGGTTTGATTCCCCCACTCCTCCTTTACATGCAGCTGCTGGATGACCTTGGTCGAGCCGTAGTTCTGACAAGAGCTGTCCTTGAAAAAGAGCAGTTCCTGTCAGAGCTCTCTCAGCCCCACTTACCTCACAGGAGGGTGTCTGTTGTGGGGAGGGGGAGGGAAAAGGAGTCTGTCAGCCGCTCTGAGACTCCTTTGGGTAGTGAAGGGCCATGGGGGATAAATCCAATCTCCTCCTCCTCCTCCTCTTCTTCGTCGTCGTCATCAGTCCTCTGCAGCTGGCCGCTACGTGCCACAGGTCTGGCCAGGTGGGATGTGACCCTGCAGCACAGCCTGCCTGCTGGGCTTCTCCTCCGGAGGCCTGGCTGGAATAAATCCCTCCCCACTTGGCCCCCGTTGGGGCACTGCCTCCCTCGCTGGGCGGCCAGGCCTTTCCGTGCGCCAGACTGGCGTGCCGACCTTGGCCAGGGCAGCCGTGAGGGGCGGCCTTCCTTCATCCTCCCCTGCCCCAGGAGGCTCCTTGCCGAAGGGCTCTTTCGGAGGGCTTTAGCAATGGCTCTGTCCAGAATGGCGCCTTTTGAATTCCGTTGCTTCTGGTTTGGTGGAGATGCGGCCGGACAGGCGGCGATTGGGGGCTTTCTGGTTTTTTATGCTGTAATTATTCAGCTGCTGCGAGAGCTGAGCGAGGTTGCTGCGTTGAGATTCTGGGTTCTTGATTCTGATTGCAGGCTGCCGTCTTAGAGTCCGGCGTCAGCTCCTATTTCAACTGGCTGTTTAGCTTTCTTATGCATTGACGGTTTGAAGGAACCCTGGAACTTGTGTACGCCACCTTGGATGTTCTCTTTGAGGGGGGAAAGCCCAGGGTAAAACGGTTGCAGAGGCATACAGTGACGAGTCCTTGTGGGAGCGCAGCGGGGGGGGGAGGGGGGGCTCTGGGTCCTGGTGCCTGAGCAGGCCGGGCTCTCCCTTGCCTTGGCAGTAGCGCCTGGGAGGGGCTGGGCTTCCCAGGCCTGCTGAATGGAAATGGAACAGAGTGTGCCTGTCAGTAACTCCCCCGCCCCACCTCTCTCCCTCTCTCCCTCCTGAATCTCTTGCCGCTTTGGACTGATTTGCCCCCAGTTTGGCACAGAATCTTTGCCGAGGGTGAGTAACTTTGCTTCCAGCTGCTTCCCCTTTCCCTGCTTGGCGCCAGGAGGCCCATCCCCCTGCAGCTCCTTCCTTGGGTAGGTGGGGGGGGGGCGTTTTGCCCCCGTCCGGCCTCCTTGACCCGCCCTCCACTTCCCTGCTTCCCGCAGCCATCCCGGCGGACCTCCGCAGCCCCATCCGCGCTGGCCGAGAGGAGCCGCAGAACCTGCACTTCTTCCCTCCGGAGTATGGCCGTGAGTGTCGGGGTGGGGCAGGGCGGGGGCTCCGGGGAGGTGGGGCACACTGGCTGGCCGGCTGGCTCTGACGCTGCTTGGCTCGGCAGGGGCGGCTGATGGGACGGCCGTGGACATCTTCTCCTTCGGGATGTGTGCGCTGGAGGTAGGGATGCACCCCAAGCGGCCGCGGTCGGGGGGGGTGTGTCTGGGCCTCCTCCTCCTCCGCCCTGCAGGCTTCCCCGGGTGGTGCCCGGCCCCGGGGGGGGGGCCTCCTCCCTCCCTCCCTGGGCCCTGCCCAGCCCCACTTCTCCCCACAGATGGCCGTGCTGGAGATCCAATCCAATGGGGACGCCTGTGTGTCAGAGGAGGCCATCGAGCGGGCCCGGCACTCCCTGGATGACCCCAACATGCGGGTGAGAGGAGCGGCCTCCTGCCAAAAGCGCCCTGGGGGGGGGGGAAGAAGGGGCGGGGCCCACTCCTGCCTCTCCTCGCTGGCCGTGGGCCCCCTCCCTCGCAGGCCTGGGCTCGGATGTGGATCCTCATCTGCAAACACCTGCAAACACCTGACCTTTGGAATTCTGGCCGGCCGGCAGGCCTTCAGCTGGCCCCGCCCCTCTTGATTCATGGGTCCCGGAGGGAGCTGACTCAGCTGGTTGGGGGTGGGGGTAGTGGTGGCCTGGGTCGGTCCTGCCCTCCTCACCGCCTGCCCAGATAAAGACTCACACCCGCGGATGCCGGAGCCCTTGGGGGAAAAAAAACCCTTTCCTTTTGTGGCTTGTTGTCAGCCCGGGCTGGCCTGAATGGGGGTGGGCAGGGGCACTGATCCGGGACCTGAGAGGCTGCGTCGGTCCCTCGGTCCCAGCCCGCCTGACCCACTCCGCTTGCCTCGCCAGCAGCTGTCCAGGGCAGGAGAGGCTTGTTTCTGGTGCCGGCCCCGAGGGGAGTGCACCCAGGGTGGTGGCACTGGGGACGGTGGCTGCCGCCCAGGCCAGCGCTCTGCCCCTCTGGGGAGGGGAGGGCTGCCTCTGCTGACGCCCTCCCCGGCTCCCCACACAGGAGTTCATCCTGAGCTGCCTCCTCCTGAACCCGGAGCAGCGGCCCTCGGCCCACAACCTGCTCTTCCACCGCGTCCTCTTTGAGGTCCATTCCTTGAAGCTGCTGGCCGCCCACTGCTTCATCAGCAACCAGTGTGAGTCGGGGGGAGGGGGGGCGCAGAGCTGGGGGGGGGAGGGAGGGCCGGTGGCACACACCCGCCCCCCCGCCAGGGCCTCCCCGCTTAGAGAGCCCCCTGCTCCCGGCTTTGCTGCAGACCTGATGCCGGAGAACGTGGTGGAGGAGAAGACCAAGAGCCTGGACCTCGACATGGTGATGGCGGAGATGAGGCGCCAGGGCCGCCCGCCCGTGCAGTGGAGGTGAGTGTGTGTCCCCGTCCCCCCCCCCGGGGGGGAGAGGAGGCTGCAGCCGCGGAGGCTGGGCTGAGGTGGTCTCCTTTCCCTCTCACCACCCCCCTCGCCTTCCCGGGCGCCTCCTCTCTGTTCCTTCCAGGTACTCGGAAGTCTCTTTCCTGGAGCTGGACAAGTTCTTGGAAGATGTCAGGTGAGCCTCTTAGGAAGGTCTGCAGTGCCCCCCCCCCGCAAGATCCGGGAGGAGTGATTAAGGCCCGCCCCCTCCGGCTGCTGTGGGGCGAGAGGCCTACCTGTCCTGGGCGCAAGGTCCTTGGCTCCTGGCCGGCCGGCCGGCTGGCGGGGTGTGTGTCTAGGGGGTGTCGCTGCCAGGACCGCCTGGGCTGAGTCTCCTGGCCCCTCTCCTCCTCCTCCTCCTCAGGAACGGCATCTACCCCTTGATGAACTTTGCCACCACACGGCCCCACACCCTCCCACGGTCCGCCTCCCAAGCCCCCGAGGACCCGCAAAAGGCCGCCTTGACCCCCACCCCAGAGCCCTTCAGCGTGGAGACCAGGAAGGTAGGGGCTGCGGGGGGGGGGGGTGGCACCCGGAGTGGGGTGGGGCTGCCCCCCCATCCCAGCAAATGTGGAAACGCCCTGCCTCCCGCTGAACCCTGGAAGCTCCGAGGAGGCTGGGGGCGCTCCAGTGTCTCACAGGGCATCCATGGAAAACTGCCCGCGTCTGGCGTTTGGAGCTCCACTTTGCCCCCCCCGCCCCCCCACTTAGGCTGGCCTCCCTCCTCTTCGTTCCCCCTTTGCCCTCTACCCTGGTCAGCTCCGGAGGGTGTTCCTTGGGGGATGGGGGAGGCTGCGGGGAACGAAGACGGTCTGGGCGGGTGGGAAAACCTTTCTACAGGGTGGCGGCGGGGAAGGCGAAACTGGCAGCAAAATACCAGGCACTTTTTGACAACACTAAGAACGTTGAGCTGCGTGGGCAGCACGCTCTGGGCATGCTGTTCGGTCCAGGGCAGGAGCTCAGTGGTCAAGGAGGCTGTCACGGCTCAGGTGGGGTGTCACCTGACGCTGCCACCACTCTGGATTTAGGATCCCTTGAGAAGGCCCAGAGCGCCCTCCCAAGACCTTCAGACCTCCCTTGTTTGCGCTGAATAATAGGCGTGAGGACCAGGCAGAGTGAACAGTGAAAATAGTTTATCTTATAGGAGGTCAAACAAACAAGGTGCAGAGTAATAACAGTAAGTGGGTGAAAAGAAAAGAAATCAAATGCCCTAACGCGTCTAAATATACACTGCCCCTAGCTCACTATTCCAAGTGACACTAGACGACTCACCCTTCCCTCAGGATGAGGGTCTCTCCCCTCCCTCTGGGAAGAAGAACAGCTTTTCCTGCTGCTCCAGGTCTTTTATTCCAAGCCCTCCTCTTTTCCTATTGGTCCATTTTGGCTCCAAACCCTCTCAGGGGCTTCTGGGAGTTGTAGGCCCAGCCTCACCTACTGCTAGCCAGGCTCCCTGGGCCTAGTAGGCCTCTGGTGGCACAGCCCAGATCATGACAGGGGCTCCTGTGGCTGCCAGGGGGGAGGGGGAGGGATGGGCGGGGGGCCCTGTCCTGACGGGCCTGTCTCTCCCTCCGGCAGGTGGCGCAGATGCAGTGCAATGTGGAGTGGAGCGAGGAGAAGGGCCAGTGGCACGTAAGTCTCCCTGGGGCGGGGGGGGGG